AAGAGTGTGGTGACTTAGTGTAGTGGTGAAGTTGGCATACCCCCAAGTGGTGGCGATCAGAGTTTAAATCTTACAGATAGCAAAAAATTCGAATTCCAGAATGTGTTACAGCAGACTATGAATATAAACGGACAGATCAACATCTGTAATCTGATTATATCAGTCTGTACTGAGAAGCTGTAGAACAATAGTATAATGTACGAATTACACAAAATCTGAGTGAAGCAGCTATATAAATTTAGAGTCAGTGTATATGAGAGTCCACTTGGCAAGACCCAAGTAGAGAGGTAGCACAGATCTTCAATAGTACTATGTGAAGGATTATTAACCAGGAAACCGGAGAACCGAATGGAACCAAAGTGTTTGGCAAGGCACTCTACCAACCAGGCCACTGGAGAGTAACTGAAGGAAAAGGACCCAACCATAGGGACCAGGAGCAGGTCACAGCCCTTCCGGATCATCTGAATTGAAAGTTTGGAGCAATAGGTATATGGCGGATAGTTTGTATAGTAGGTGCTAGAGTCTGAGTAAACTCTATAAGGATGTAATAGATAATAATAGCGGTAGTGTTCCGAGTTGGTAAATATTTTACCAATCGATTAGTTGCCAACTATAGTTGCAACTAATCAATTGTTCACATCATGTAGCATCATCAGATAATTAGCCAATCAAATCAAAGGAATTAATTCAGATTTGTCTAACTAGACAGAATTTCTCAGAATTGTACTAGTTAAATTATTAATCGATTAGTTGTTTAAAATTTTTTCAAATCGACTAGTTAGAAAGTTGGCAACTAGTTGATTTTTCAACTAACAATTTGAAACACTAAGTAGCAGCTTCGGCTCGCAAGTACTTAGTCTCGGCCTAGGTGTAAATTATCGAAGTAGACTAGGTAATATGGTATAGTGGAACCGGACTGCTCTAGCAGGTGATACACTTGAGAATAAATCAATAATGCCGGTAGTTCTATAGATGATCTGCAATGATTCTAAAACTTGAACTGACTTATGTATCACATGTTCTAGGTAAGGTTAGATGGATTGGCATAGAAAGCTCAGATTAGAGAGTTTAATTGGATAACTCAAGTAATAGTGAATTATAAGTACAGCATTTAGTATAGAACCTAGTAATAGATAGATACTTAATTAGGCGCTCAAAAGGCGCAGATATAGCTAGAATATACCCTCATCAAAATGTACTTGTCTGGGGCTCCCTTGAAAAAGGCACCACATGATTCTATAATCTAATAAAAGTGAAAAGCCAAAGAGGCTAACCTTGACTACAAAAAAAAAAAATTAATAAAAACCTGTTTGTATTAAATTTTTTTAAACAGAATGAAATAACAATAAAATTTAAATTCAAAAATTAATTTCTCAAGAACTATCTCATCAAATTGAGGCAAATTTTTTGTTATTAGTATAAAATCATTGAACTTTAACATACTAAACAATTAGAATTTTTAAACATAATTCTGATTTTTTATAATTTTTAATTAAACCTAATTAATGTTTTAAATTTTTATAAAAAAAATTATTTAAAACTTTAGCTCTTAGACTATATAAATTTTTTTTTTTTAGTTTTTATAACCTGGTTAAATCAAAATCTAAAAACTTATAAAAATTTTTTTATATGTTTTAATAATTAGGTGGGTTTTTTTAAAAAATTTTTAAAAAAATTTATAAATTTTTTATATATAAAATTTAATAAAAAGCTGACTGGCCAGGTCTGTTTAAATAGTTCTATATTATGAAAACTAAAAAAATTTTTTTATATAGCCTTATCTAAAATTTTTTTAGTAATTAAAAAATTACTAAAAAAAATATATCATTTAGGCTAACTATTTACTAAGTTTTTAAAAAGTTTCAAAGCAGTAGCACCTTTCTGTAAGCAAATATAGATGCAGAAAACTTTGTCTAGCACTGTATATTTGTTTCTTGATATTTTATATATAAAGCCTTTATCAACAAAAATATTTAAAAGAGATCTACAAATATCTTAAGACTTCTAAACCTTGAATTTTCAATTTGCTTTCAGTACGATTTTGATTTAAGTAGTTGTTGAAAAAAGTTAGTTAAAATATTTTTGTATAATTCTATATTTAAACTATAAAGTTGTATTAGAAACTATAAAATTAATATTAATTAGTGATTCACTAGTTAACCAAAGAAAGGTTATAGTATAATATAATATAGTTTATATATAGAAATTAGAGTTTTGCAAATATGAGCTGCATCATTCTAAAACTTTTTTTTGTACTAATATCAGCAAATTTTTAAAACTATAATATTATATAAGATTTACGATTGACAAGTAATATTGTGCAAGATTTAAAAAAAGTACAAATAGATACGAATTTTATTAAAAAATTTATAAACTTTTAATAAATAGCCTTATTCAACATCTTATTCTAGTTATAATAATAGTTAAATCATCAAAATCAGCTTAATCATAATATTTGTACAAATTTTGAAATATTGTGCAATATTTCGAAATATTGTACAAATATTACAATTAAGCTATCTTAGCAAATATTAAACTGATTTTGATGATTTAACTATCATTATAACTGAAATAAGATGCTGAATAATACTATTTATTGAAAGTTTGTAGATTTTTTAATAAAATTTGCACCTATTTGCACTTTTTTAAAATCTTATGCAATATTATATATCAATCATAAATCTTATATAATATTATAGTTTTAAAATTTTGCTAATGAAGTTAACCATCTTTTAAGCTTCTAATTGAAGTTATAAAGCTTGTTGAGATGAATTTAATAGTAGTTAAATTATTAAAGTCAGTCTGATAAATCATGAGATATCTTTAAAAAATGTTTTGCTAACTATATAAATTTTTTTTAACAATACTATTGTTGAAAAAGAAGTTTATATAGTCAGCAAAATGTTTTTCGAAGATATCTCATAATCTACTAGACTAATTTTAATGATTTAACTACTATTATATTCATCTTAATAAGCTCTATAACTTTAATTAGCCCAAAATGTAGTTAATTTAGAACAAAAAAAGTTTTAGAATAATGCAGCTCACATTTGCAAAACTCTAATTTTTTTTTTCTCTTTAACTAGCCTCTTTGGGACTAAGGTTTTTTATTTAGGTATTTACTGAGTGAGAGCTCATCCTAACCCTGTACATTAGAGAGTACATTCTAGCTATGTCTGCACCTTTAAGCATCTAATTAAGTATCTATCTATTGCTAGGTTCTACACTAGATGTCGTACTTATAACCTACTATTATTTGAGCTATTCAATTAAACCCTCTGTAATGCAACTCTACCTGTATTACTGTTACATCTTTATGAAGTTCCAGATTCTCACTTATACCATTAGGACTAATTTATTCTCGATACATCATTGCTAGAGCTATCTGTACCCACAATTCGGTTAACCTAGGCTTTTGGTAACTTACGCTAAGTCCGAGGATAAGTACTTGTGAGCTAAGGCCGCTATTATTACCCAGAGATATACATTTTAACTGTCTAAAAGCTTTTTTAGTACTGTTCAACGTCCAAATGTCCAAGTGTCCAAAAGTGTCCAGAGTATACTTAAGCTTTAATAATTAATAAATTTGTTTAAAATATATATAACTATATATTTTTTTAGGTGCTAAACATATTTTACTTAGAAAGTAATATAGATTATCTTAATAAAATTTTGAGTAATTTTAATTTATTTAATTGTCCAAAATTGTCCAAAGTGTCCAAACTCACTGTCCACAACTGTTCTGTAACAATACTGCCATTACCTACTACCACCCTTATAGAGTTTACCCAAACCATAGCATCCACTATACAGACTATCCCCCATATATCTGTTATCCCAAACTTCTAATCCAGATGGTCCAGAAGGGCTGTAACCTGCTCTTTGGTCTCCATGATTAGATCCTTTTCCTCCGGTTACTCTCTGGCGGCCAGGTTGGTAGAGTGCTTTGCTAAACACTTCGGTTCTGTTCAGTTTTTCCAGTTTCTGGTTAGTAATTCTTTACATAATACCATCGAAGATCTGTGCTACCTTTCTACTCAGATCTTGCCAAGCAGACTCCTGTACCCTGTAAATTCGCTAAATTTATCTGGTAGCTTCATTCAGTTTTCGTATAACTTATACATCACACTATATGTTTCACTACCTTTCAGTACAAGCTAGTACAACCACTATTACAGGTTCTATAACCCAATAGGATACAGTCTTCCAAATGCATTTTCTTAAATTCGAAATTTTGTCACCAGTAGGATTCAAACTCTAGTTCTGCTGCTTAGGAGTGCGACAACTTGCCAACTTCACTAAGTCGCCACACCCCAAAACTCTAATTTTATATATAAACCATATTACATTATACTATAGTTGATTAACAAATTACTACCATATATTACCGAAAATAAGCAACTCCGAAAATAAACAACCCCTCAATTTTAAAAATCAAAAATAAGAAAAATAAAAAAATTTTTTAATTACCAAAAATAAGCAACTCCCCAATTTTAAAAATTAAAAATAAAAAAAAAATAAAAAAATTTTTAGTAACCAAAAATAAGCAACTAGTTGTTTTAAGTATCTTAATACAAATATTTGGCCTTACAATTTTAAACTTGAAATAATTAAGGTTTATAGTATATAAGCAAGTACAGATAAAATATTTTATAACATTAACTGTTTCTTATTTTAGTATAGATAGCTCAATTTTATAAACATTTTATAAATAATTCATAAGCGATCTATAAGCAGATTATAGTTAAGGCAAGAAATGATCAATTAAATACAATCAAACAATTCAATTTTACTTGTATTACCAAATCAAAAAAAATCTGTTTATATAAAAAAGGATCACAAAAATGATTTTAAATCTAATCATAAATTAAAAATATGAATGTATATATTATAGCAAAAATTGGCTATCAAATTCCCACAATTAAATAATTAGAGTAATGATTTTTATACTTTTTGATTCTTCTTAAAAAAAAGAATCAAATGGCATAAAAATTATGGCTTTAATTACCAGTTAAATGCCACTATAATTTTACCAATGTTTTATACTTTATAAGCAGTATTTAATAAATTCACGATATTATAACTGCAAAGCTACTTTTAAGTTTTATTAGATAGTTATAAAAGCTTCAATTAATACACTCTACTTTTATTCACTTGTAAAAACAAGAACATCATCATTTTCTTCAACTACCATATCATGGTGCTCTTGATTTTCATCATGATATTCTTGATCTTCATCATAATCGCTAGAATTAATCTCAATAACATTTTCATCTTGTTTATTCGGAATATCATAAATTTCAGCATTGACTTTATGATTTACTGCAAAATATTTTGTCATGATATATTTCATTATTATCTAACCTGTCCATAGCATTAGAAATGGAATATTTACGAAATGCACGCTGAATAATCTTAGGATTAATTTCTGCCTAGGCAGAAAGCCTCACTTACATATAATATGCAGTTCTGCATGTTTTAAGTTTTCTTTCTTGGTTTTGCTAGAACCACCTTTTACTATCACTTATATCAGTAGTTACAGAGTACTACTTTGAAGAGACGGTTAACAGAAATATCAAGTGGCTAGCACATAGATGTTAGGCCCCCAGGAATAACAACAAGATCGTTATTACTTTCCTAAAGCTTTATTTTAATGTTATTACAAATATGTACTTTGAAAGAGTCCAAAACTAAAAGAGAAGGTTCATTTTTCCAACCACCTAAACGATTTTCATTATAGTTATCAGCCCAAGCTAATATACCCAATTCATTCATCTATTCTTTTTCATGAAAATTAACAATCACACTGGGAGGAGGAAGAGGTTTTGTCTTAGCCCATCTTTGGCCCTTGAATATAATCAGAGGGGGAGCTTTCACTTATCAGCAAAGCAAGCCAAAACTACAGTAAATTGATTTTTCTCATTATCAGTTGTGCGAATATAAACAGTTTTAGCACCAACACATTTCACTGTGAGATCACCAGACATATCAAACCAGACAGGAGTTTTGTTCATGTTTGCTATATTGCTTAAGGGATAATTTCTTATACAACATAATTGAATTACATATTGTTAAAAATTAAGCAACTGTTCTTCAAGGTTAGTGGGCATTTTTTGTGATATTTTTGTTTTTTGACATAAAGTAAAATTATAGTGTTTTAAAAAATGCTTTAACCATATTAAAGAAGCTTTAAAATTACTTGCAAGTTGTTTTTTTGTAAGATCATTACTCTTTAAGTGGCTTTAAAAACAATTCTTAACATTTCTAGCTTAAGGCTACTATACATTATGACAAGTGCTGCACTATACATTTTACTTAACCAACTATAAAGCTGCACTTCTTCTGAAAAAAAACATTTCCTTCCACTATCTTTAAGATGATATGATTTGCTATATTCAACTTCAGTCAGCTTATCTTTTAGTTGTGTTATCTAATGGCCAATCTAAGACTTATCTAAACTAAACTTTATAGCGACCTTAATATTGTCTTCACAAAGAGCATATCGAACAATGCTAACTTTTTCTTGCACAGTGTAGGATTGACAGGTTCTTTTTTTAAGATCTTTCATCATTTAAAATTTTAATAACAATTTTTTTTTTTTTTTTAATGTTAAGGTGACTACTTTGGGTCTGGCACGTTTTATTGAACTTTAGATCGAATGCTAAGATAACTACATGGGCTACTCCTGACTTTGTTACATTAATGAGAATATATTCTAGCCATATATACAACTTTTGGTTATCTATTTAAGCAGTCTTGTATATGTAACCCATATAAACTACACTAGTTGCCGTACCTTTTAATAACAATTTTTTTCACTTATAACTGCATATTTTTATATATAAATTAAAACCTCTGATTAAATCAAAACTTTATAAGAGATTGTTTTAAATGAGGTAAGCATTCACTTGAAAAATCTTTTATCCATCTATTGTCATGTAGCCATCTATTGTCATGTGTCTAGTAACATCTTTATACCTTCTAAATTAAATCTAAAATGTGAGTTTGGTGCAGTTTTTCAAGTGTTACTATATTTTCAGAATAAAAATTTTTATGCACTAAATTAGCTTCATAAATTGTATTAAGCCAACTATATAATATAAAATTGCAACTTTAAAATTTTAATCTAAATCATTATATTTGCTATTTAGTAATTTTTAATGTTATGACTATAGGAATTACTGAATATATAGTTCAAATAGCCTTTTGCCTATACCCAAATTCGATGTTTTATGAACCTTTACCAAGTCAATAGAGTTTGTTTAGCTTTGTACTAACAAGCATGTTTTAATCTAATCAACTTATATTTCATTATATATATATACACAAGGCACTTAATTTTTATTCACTAATAACGCACTTTAAGAATTTTTGAAAATAAGCTTTTTTGTGATAAAGATCTTTTAAGTAAAAATTTTTGATATGTAATTGACAACCAATCAAATTACTAACTATGTTGTAATTTGATTAGCTGTGATTATCATGTGAATAAATAATTTTTTAAGCTTTGGACCCAAAAATAAGCTACCTTCTTTATTTTATTCAGAAAAAACAAAAAAATTTCAGTTGTTTATGATAATATACAGTAATTAATATTTAAAAAGTTTGTTATAAATAAACTAAAAAAAATTTAAAATAAGAGTGTAGTGATTTAGTGAAGTGGTTAAGTTGTTGCACTCCCAAATGGTATATTGGCAAATAGGGTTCGAAATCTACCAACAGCAAAATTTTAAATATTCTGCTTGTATAATGACTACTGTCTTTTGACAATCAGTTGAAATAAAATCTCTGTAATCTTAGTAGCACTAACAAGATTGGAATTATGAAGTATTTGTATAATGCATAAGTTATACAAAGATATGCAAGCTGATATTAGGTGGTGCAAACACAAAATAAGTCTTTTGTGATCGTATTAATCCAAGAAACTGAAAAAATAAATACTCACTTAGCAAGACCTAAATAGAGATATAGTACAGACTTACAATAGTAGCTACTTGAATAGGCTTTATTTGAGGCTAGTTAACTGAATGCAGTAAGAACACCTGGCAAGTTGTTTTACTAACCAGGCTGTTGATATGAGTATCAACCAGAAGAAAAGAATTGCAAATATCATGGGACTGATGTTACTTCTGGGTCATCTAAATTAGTAGTCTGGGGAAACTGGCTAGAAGATACTGAAAGAGAAGATATTGGATTGTCTTGAAAAAAGAGTACTAAAGTTTAAGTAAAGTTTGTAAAGGCCAGAGGTTAAGCAGTATAGTCTGCCTATAAAAACTTAGAACCTATCTGATAAACTTATTTGCAAAAAGAATTAGTAGTGTGGCCTGCTTATAAAGGTATAAAACCTATCTAGTAATACCTATCTATTTGAAAAAGGCTAGGTCATATCATATGTTAAATGTGAATAACAGAACAGCTTTAGCAGATAATGCACTTGAGGATAAATTAGTTAATTATATTAGAAGTCTTATAGATAAATATGTGATAATTCTAAAACTTGGACTAACTAATATATCACATGTTCTGGGTGAAGTTAAATAGATTGGTATAAAAAACTCAGATCAAAGAATTTAATTAGGTAACCTAAATAATAGATAGGTTATAAATACAACATCTAGCATAAAACTTAGTAATAGGCAAACTATTTAAATTAGATGCTTAAAAGGCACAGATATACTATAACTAGAATATATTTTTGTCAGAATATACTTGCTTGAGGCCCCTTTGAAAAAAGCACCACATGATCCTATAATCTAATAAAATTGATAAGCCAAAATACTAACCTTAACTATAAAAAAATAAAAAATTTAAAAATTATTATTATATAATTTGATTAAACAACTCTTTTTAAAATCATTTAAACTAACTTTTTATCAACTATTAGTTGAAGACTTAAAACTAAAAAGTCTAAACTACTCATAATTTATATATATAAACTGTTGTTAATAAAATTTCTAAATATAATATACTAAGACATAGATATTTTAAACAGTTTACTACTAACTGAAAAGGTGAAATTTAATCACAAATTAGCCAGAAATTGGCCAAAAGTTGACCACAAATTGGTAGTCAATTGGTAAATTTTAAACAAATTCAGATCGATTTAGCCAAAATGATCAAACTAGATTTGATCTAAAAAACCTATCCACTATCTAGAAATGCCCATTACTATCTAAAAGTGCCTATTCTATAGTAGAAAGTGCTCTTTCATTAATAAAAGATGTTCTTCTTTAATTAATTACTATATTCTATAATAAATTAATATATCAGAAAAAGATATATAAACTCTGTCTTTTTCTCTAAGGCAAAAGAACAATTAGTTCCTATATTTTAGTCGTTATAGCCTTGTTATTATATACTTTAATCTTGGGAATAGGTACTATTTTTATTTTTGTTATAACTTTGTATTAGGAATAAGTCTTATTTTTGGTATTTTTATATTATTTTTGTTGGGAATAAGTATCTTTTCTATGATATTTTTCTGAAAACTATTGTATTTTTCTTGAATTATATATAATTGTTTTATCTGTATTATTCTTTTGAATATTATCTGAGTTAATAAATCTATCTTTTGTCTATAAACTTTGTTGGTTATAATCTTTTCTTTGTGAGTATCACTATAGCAATAAGTCAACAATATTTTATCTTATCTATAAACTATTTTCTTTTATAAATCATATAAACACATTTCTTACACTTAGTCAAGTAAAGTAACTTGTTAACCAAAGATCTAACTTGTTACATTATAATAGAATAGTTGTCCAGAGCGTAGCGACGGACACTCAATTTTTACGCATTAAGTGATACAAAAGTTACATTTTTGATGTGTTTCGATCATGAAAAATTCTTTTTTGATGCATCAACATAATTAACATAAACAAATATGTCAATATCGTAATTTGGAAATTTTTTGTCTGTCCGCATGTGTGATGCGTGATTGCATAACTGTTTTGAACAACAAAACTGGTAAATATAGTAAATACGATAATATACTCATGGTAAGTTATTCATATGATTGGCTGGTTTAAATTAATTGTCCAAGTAACTTATTTATACACTTTAGAGTACTTTTTAAGAACATAACAGTTTACTAACAAAATTACTTCAAAGCTATTTAT